ATCCTAGCGCCCTTGAGCTTAGCATTGTACCATGAATCAATTCCAGGTCACACACTCTAGATCCAGCCACCTCTGAAACATCCCCACTTATGACCACATCAGGATTTGGGGGAACATCTAAACACAAGCCATAACAACTATCATGCTTTATCATGTCTTTCCAATTTTTAAAAGTGAAGTTAAGAAAATATGTACTAATTTTTTTTTTGGTACCAGGGATCGAACTTGGGACCTTGTGCTTTTGAGGCAGGTGGTGGAACTACTGAGCTAATCCCTGGCCCTGTATTAATTTTTTTTTTTTTTTTTGTACCAGGGATTGAACTCAGGTCCTTGCGCTTGTGAGGCAGGCATTGGAACCACTGAGCTAAATCCCTGGCCCTGTACTAATTTTTGAAAGACTGTCTTCAGGCCCGGAGATTTAGCTCAGTGGTTCCAGTGCCTGCCTTGAAAGCGCAAGGTCCTGAGTTCAATCCCTGGTACAAAAAAAAAAAAAGACTGTCTTCATGCACTGTCCCTTCCTCACAGCTATAGATACACCCAACATGGCAAACGAGGAAGACAGAAAGCAAGTAAAATATAAAACGGTGAGAACACCAAAGAAAATAGCTTGCTTCTTTGTTTATTGATTCCATCTCTGAATGATGGAATGAATGAATGGTTTAGGAATCATAAACTTACAGACACTTTTAGAGGTGGAAATTATCTTGGGGGTCATTCAAAGTGGAAATTCTAACTCAAAAAAATAAAATGACATGTCCAAAAATAAGAATTTACTTACTGCTTCAACCTGGATAAGTACGTTGAATCAATATGCATCAAGTGCTCATTGACCAAAAAAATCACAACCAATCTATTCACAAGCCTAGGAACTTTCCAGAATTCCAGAGTGAGTCATTCCAGGCTGGTAAAGGATTTGCCAAGACAGCTGTGAGCTGCTGAAGCCCAAACCATATCCTTCCACGGCCTCAAGAGGCACCTAGATGATCCTAAGATACCTTAGTGTTGAGAATGAAAGTGTTTCAAATAAATGCATTAAAAACAAATCCACAACTGGCACCTGCCTTGCAAGCCCAAGGTCCCGAGTTTGATCCCTGGTACCAAAAAAAAAAAAAAAAACCAAATCCACAAGGTAAATGGCACAAACTTATAGTAGACCCATGAAAACATTCCGATCCAGTTCAGGCTCAGAAGTTGACAAATGATAAAATAACACAACCATTTGCATACTTAAAATTTGCACAACACAAAATATATCACATTTCTATATGAACAGTGATATAATGATAAGAGTATGTTAATTCCCTAACCACTCCTATCACTCTGTAGCTTTCATGCTATGTAGATTACAAATATCATAGAGTTCACATAGAGCATTAAGATAAACTGAGAGTATTAGAGAAAATGGAAGGAAAAAAGAACATAGACGTGCTATTTTAATATCTTAGTATCGGCATTAATGTCTGCTTTAACATAGTGTGACCATACTTGGATCTTGAGCAGTTGGGTTTTTTTCGGTTAATATCATGTTTATCGGGACCTCAGTTTCTTTCCACCTGATTAGCAGTACCCCACCTCACTGGAATCTAGGAAGGAACTAATGTGTTCTGAAACCAAATTTGATGCTTAGAAAATCCTTGAGCTGGTGAAAGGCACACCTGTGTTATTTGGCAGGTGAACTGAATCTCAAGCAAAGCATTTCTGCAAATCTCTTGTTTAGTTGGCTAAACTGGTTTTCACTCCTATTAAACAACCAAGGGGTGGGGGGAGGGCATCCTCTATTTTTCCTAAATGACCATAATAATGCCAAAGAAACACCTGAAAGTGGGAGGATAAGGTATTTCAGAACACTAAATATCTTTAGGTAAAATTTGTTATGTTCTAGATCTATTAATAGTTCTAGTAGTGAAAAGCTACAATGTTTTATAAAGACCAAGTTATTGAGATATTACTTCAAATAACTTAAGAGAAAGCAATTTTCTTGATATATTCACGCTTATATTTAATTAAGAAGTCTGTTAGGACAGGGGATTTAGCTCAGTGGTTCTGGCGCCTGCCTCAAAAGTGCAAGGTCCTGAGTTCGATCCCTGGTACCAAAAAGAAAAAAAACCAGTCTGTCATAAATCATTAATAAAAATTTCAATGAGCCGAATCCTAAAGAAAACAAGGAAGCTTTTATCAGTTGAGAGGTAGTCTCTGTAAATGAGTTTGTGGACTATTCAAAGCCATATAATGTTAAAGTGAAACAAGCCATCTATAACTTCTTTTTAAAAATCTCTATTTTACCTATTTTCATTTTCTGGATATTCTTATGTTGGATTATGTAGGACTTCATCACAACTTTGAATTCTTAAAGCTAAACTGCTTTGAAAAGCTTAAATATAAGGCATTCCAGAATAAATGTTCAATTCACATAATATGTTTTAGATATTAAAGTTAAAATTTTCATTCTTTGGTCAGGCACTTGCAGTCCTAAAATGTAACTTTTCACAGTAAATGTGCAGTCCATTCTAGAGAAGGAAAAGAATAGAGTGCAGCGCTGTCTAGCTTCATAGAAGATAAAGGGTAAAAGGAAAAGAAAAATTAATCAAGTCCGCAAGCATGACGACCCTAGTCTGGTTTAGCTGGCAAAGGAACTAAAAGTACTGCCATCCAGCCTAATTTATAGATCATTTGTGGTATTTCCAACCCCTTTTAAATTGAAATTGTGCTACAATCTCTACAGTGAAAGAATATTTTTTAAAATGTTCAACAAAGAGATGAATATTTTTTCTCTCCGTAGTGCACACCATCTGTGCATAATTAACTCTTTAGACACATGTACAGAAATCTCTCTGCCAGTCAGAGCTGTCCTTCTCAGCCTGGTTATGCACTGTGTGAGTCCACCCCCAGAGATTTTGGTTCCATCGGTGTGATTGCTCATGGTGGCTAGGGTGTTCATCTCAGAGTTCCTCCTAGTTGGAATTTAGGATTTGTTTCCTCTGGAATTGTTGCAATGGTGATTTGGGCTTATGGATTTTTTTCAGAGGACAATAGGTAGAACGCCACTATATGTTAAATAAACTTTTAGTGTGGGGCACTGTATATGTAGCTCAGTGATAGCGTCCTTACCTAGCATGCGTGCAGCCCTGGGTTCAAGTCCTAATATGGCAAAAATAAGTGAATGCATACATACTGGGAACTTGTGGGGACTGGTCACAGTTCTCCTTCTAAAACAAACAGTACTCCTTAGGCTCCAAACAGCAACATTTATAACCAATAAGTTGGTAAGTTAGGATCTGCTTGAGTCTTATAGGTCACAATACTTTACTAAACTTTATTCGTGTGTCAAAAGTAAGTCAGGCTAGTAAAAACAAAGAATCATTAACAAGTTTAGTGAGTACCTACTATGAATATGACACAGGAAAGAGACTGTTGAACAAAACCAAAAGCTAAAGTAGAAACTTTGTGCGATGTTTAATTTTAGGATATACCATAAGGAATGTGACAGCTCATGACTTTCTGTGTTTTCCAAACAGTGCATTGGATTAGAAATAGAGGGATGGTTCAGAAAGAATTATCGCATAAGAATGAGTGGAAATGTGCTGGAAGGCACGAAACCAGATGATAAAGGTACTTTAGGGTGAATCATACAACAAAACGCAGAGGCTACTTCACAATCACCACTCAAAAGTTACTGATTTGAATAGCTGGGAAGATGATAAAGAAGACGTAAGGACAGGGCTTCCTGAACGTTGCTTTAAGGTTTGACCTACCAGTGAGCCCAAAGTGACGCATCAGGACAAGCTGAACAAGAGCAGAACTGTAGGGTACCTGCACCTGCTTCCCACCCAAGCAAACCACGCTCCGCCTCATTCCCATCCATGTAGTCTGGAGACGCTCCTACACACATAGCCACACCACCTACCTGCTGCCCCGCAGCCTTGTGCTGCTTCAGAGCACAGATTACAGCATTTGGATTAAACTTAAAAAGGCACAGATCGGCCTCAATATAAAGAAAATCTTTCTTTTTAAAAAGACTGTCAAAATAAAGAAGAATGCAGACTGGACTTCTTGCCATATGCTAAACACTTGGCCCTGAAGTGTTCAGCAGGGGCTGAATAATATTCTAGAAACAGGGTAACTGTGTTGAGTGGAGCGTGTCCCAGTGGTCTCCAATGGTTCTTCCAAACCCAAGTTTTGATGATTTTATTGTTCAACTCCCTCTCTTCTCCATGGTCACTTAGTCACCTCTAATTTCATTTTGCACCCACTTGGTTAAAAAAAAAAAAAAAGACAACAAAGGGCAGTTAAGAAATCCTTCACAAAGAACCAAAGTATCCCTGTGTAAGGATTGTGAAACAGGGCATTAGGAACTAGCGTTTTAACACACTGATTTATAGGACCTTTGGTTAATTTGGCAAGAAGTAAATCCTGAAAGGTCATACCAAGAACTACAGGAACTTTAAGTGGACAAATAACCCCATAATAAAGCCAGTGTTTTTGTTCTCTCATTTATGCCCAGATTTGTAACCTCAGGGGCTGGAAGCACACCCTGATCTTTATGTTTGTCTTGAGACAGCAATGAAGGAATGAAGGAACGAATGAGTTTATCTTACAGTTAGCCGCCGAAAGTGGAGATGGTTAGAAAAGGTTAAACAGAAGCCGACTTCATGGCATAGAATCTCAAAACTGGGAACTACAGGGACAATGATTTAATCGCTTAGTGCATTACAAGGCGTTTGCAGCGGCTCTGGCTGCGATATTCAGGATGAAGACTCTAACAGGCTCACTGGGACCTAGCTATCCGTCTGCAACCGTGTCCCGCACCTCTTTACAAAGACCCTCCTTTCGCACACCACGGGACCCGAAAGGACTGCAGACTTCTAAGGGCAAGGCCAGGTTCAGGCCCAGAACCAGCGCAGCGATTCCTCCCAGCCGAGCGAGCCAAACCGGGTCATCCATCCTGCGGGGCGCGCAGGCCTTCAGAGTTCAGCAAACCGAGGCTGCGTTCATGATCTTACCGTGTGTACTTTCAGGGCACCCAAAAGGCTTTTTCTGCCCCGCTTTTACAAGACCCTCAGGACGCCGAGCTCTTTGCCTTGGGCGGGGTGGGGGACGCAGCGGGCTGTCCACATCTGGCTGCCAGTCTGGGCCCGCGCTGCTCCGACGAGAGTTGCAGTTTCCACGGCCCCGGGGCAGGAGATTCCGTGACCCGGCGCAGCATCGCCGTTCTCCCGATCGAAGGCTGCGGGCGCGAACCCGGCGGGGACAGCAGCAGCGCCCGGTTCCGCCCGGCGGCAGGGAGAGGGCCCGCGCGCGCCCCCTGGCGCCAGGTCGCAGGACCGCGGGTGGCGAAGGGGGCGAAGAGGGTGGAGGCGGCGGGGGCGGAGCCGCGGGCCGGCGAGCGCGGGGTCCCGCTGAGAGCGGGAGCGCCAGAGCGAGCGCCAGCGAAGGCGGCTGCAGCTGGCGGCATGGCTAGCACGGCCTCGGAGATCATCGCCTTCATGGTCTCCATCTCCGGCTGGGTGCTGGTGTCCTCCACGCTGCCCACCGAGTACTGGAAAGTGTCCACCATCGACGGCACGGTCATCACCACCGCCACCTATTTTGCCAACCTGTGGAAGATGTGCGTGACGGACTCCACGGGCGTCGCCAACTGCAAGGAGTTCCCCTCCATGCTGGCTCTGGACGGTCTGCACCCCTCGCCCCTCCGCCCCCCCCCCCCGTGCCCGCCTCCCCGCAGCCCGAGGACCTCGGGGATCCAGGAGCGTCCGGGTGCCCTGGTCCCTGGACATCGTCCCTCGGGGATCCCGGGGCAGGGGACACGAGGACCGGCCCGGGTGGGCTGACGCCCAGGCGTCGGGTGGGGGAGCCTCGCGGTCCTGAGAGTGGAGGACACAGGGACTGTCGGGCGTGTAGTTCACCTTCAGGGACTTGCCCTTCCCTCTCCCCCAGAAAAACTGGGTTCCCAGTAAAACGGTGTCCTTGAAACCCAGGAACGCTGGGGCTGAACTCCCTTTAGCGGTTTCCTTGGTTATCTTAAAAGTAGGCGCGGTGGGAAAAAGAAACATATTGCAGGTTTTCTGTGTTCCCCTTACAAAACACTTCTACCGACCTCTCTGCTTAGGCTGTAACACTTCCTCCAAGTGTGGGCGAAGTAAGTACCTTGCTCAGGAAGTCTCCGCTGAGGCAGCGAGTGCTGCATCCCAGCCTGCCCTGTGCGCTCCGAGGTCTCCTGGCTTTGGGCTGACTTGCGTTGTACCCACGGGTTCAGTCCACGGAGAAAACTGGCTCTCTTTAGTTTGCAGAGAACACTTGATGTCGGCCCAAACACCTTGCTCAAATTCTAGGCTGCTTTTCTTCCAGGATTTTACAGCCAACGACTGGATGGAATCCCAGCAGAAACTTATCAAGAGTCATTTGCATTAGTTTTAGATTGACTGTCTTCCCTCTCTTTATTATTGCTCTTGCAGTTTTTATTTGCATAGCTGGGTAAATAAAATATTTGATCCAGCTAAGACAGTACTTGCCACGCAAAGCAAACTGTTGCTCAACTTCATATTGGATGGAACCTGGTATAAAGGAATACGTACGTGTCTGGCACCCGGGTGGCAGCCGGGTCTGCGTCCTGTTGTGTAAAAGAAGTAGCCGGAACACTGTTTATTCCCTAGCATTGCTGTTGAATTTCCTGTGCAGTGCAGAGCACCTGGGTAGGTGAACAGGCAGGCTCTTGTTTCTGCGGTTTACATTCAGAAGCATGGGATTGACAATTGCTGTCCAAGAATGTTCTTTGTAATCTATTGCTGCTCTGTAGACAGCTGGGGTACAGGGGAGAGGAGAAAGAGATGTTCCTCGAAGATTATTGAATGCAGGCCAGTAGCATTTGCCCTTAGCGTCTGAAATGAGCATGGAGGTGGTCCTTGATTTGGGGGCAGGTGAGGTACTGGGGAAGAAGGAGTGTCCTAGAGCTTGGTGGGAGTGGAGCAGAGGGGTGTGACATTCATATGCTTCCCAGCTTGCAAAGACTTTCCTGTGTGCTCATGGGATTGGAGAAATGATTTTTTTAAAAACAAAAATTATATGTTCTGCAATGCTTTTAAATTAATAACATCTTTCCAAGTCGGTCAAGACAGAATGATTCTTTTTTTTGGTACTGGGGATCGAACTCGGGACCTTGCACTTGCAAGGCAGGTGGTGGAACCACTGAGCTAAATCCCTGGCCCTAGAATGACTTTTTAACTGCTGCATAGTATTCATTATTCTGGATAAACTGGCTTATTTAATCATTTACCCATTGTGGTCACTGGTCCCTTTCCAACGTTTTGCTGTTATTAGCACCTTACTGAAATTCTTTATATTTGTCTCTTTGTGCACATGAGTAATCTCTTCCACTGAGCAAAGGTGTTTCCAGAACAGTAGAACATGCATTTGAGTATTTGGTTCATACGGCCAAATCAGATTGCACCGACAGCGTGTGAGAACTGCTTCTCCACATTCTCTCCCCTCACTTCTTCATCCAGTATTCCCTGATTTCCTGGTGGTTTTGATCATCTTACTGTGTTTTCATTGACTATTTTCTCTCTCCCATGAGATGTCCATATCTTCTTCTTGGTTTAAGTGATTTGGCAATGCTTGTCTCTGTATATATGTGCAATAGATGTGTGCAGTCTCAGACCATTGCTTATGGTTTACATGTATGATGGCTTTTGTCATGCTTCAAAATGTGTAATACAATCACATTTATCAGTTCCTTCCTTGGAGATTTTGCCTTCTGGGGCTGTAAGAGGGCATTTCCTACTGCAGAATGATAAATGTACCTTTTCTGTATCTCCCAGAAGGGTTGAGTCACACAGCTACATCTTCACACACAGTGGAGTTGATCCCTCACCTGCATGTGGAACTTTCCAGAGCAGGGCCCTCCCTCTGCTTGTCTGCTTTCTGCCCTGAATTCCTATGTCAGGTGCATGTATTGGGTGCTGGTCTTGGCATTGCTTTGAAGCGGAAGGAGAAAGCCACCTTACTGTGGCCTTGCGAGCAGTCCTGTCTTCCTCTTAAGCCAGGCATGAGCTGTGGGTCGGTAAGAGAATCCAGGAAGGGAGAAGGCTCATGACTCTCACTCATCTTGTGTTAAGTAGACAATCAAGTCTTTTGGATGCAGATGATGGTCAAAGCCCTGATTTCTCACCCTCAGGAGTGTAATTGCTATTCCAGTTTTCCCTATAAGGAAGAAGAGGCTTAGCAAAGCCAAGTGTCTAGATTGGATGTTATGCTGTGTTGAGTCCAACTCTCATTTCTGTTTAAAATAAACCTTCATATTATAGAAGGGAAGCTTTGATGAGTTTCTTGCTACTCATCAGACACTTTGTTCATATTATTCATCCTGTGAAGTGGGTGCTGCTGTCCTTGTACAGATGAGGAAATTGAGACTCTGAGAGATTAGTAATGTATTCAAGGTAAACAGAAGCAGCAAAGCTGAAATTCAGAGTTCCTGCCTTCCCCCATCCACTCTTCCGTCAAAGAATTTGCAAAAGTACACAGAGCCAGTAGTCCAAGAGACTTTTTTTTCTCCCTTAAATCCAGGAACTACTAAAGTGCTTTGAGTGAACTGTCTCCCCCAAGTGGTTATTTTCATTTTTGCGAGTTGCAGTTGAAAATAAGGAACCTATCATTTGGAAAACACTTAGCTTTTAAGGGACACTTTGAAGGTTTCCTCCAGTGGCATTCATTAATTTAAAGTTACTATTTGAAAAGCTGATGGTTGAACGAGCCAGTGTTTAGTATACTGATGCCATCTATTTTTGTTAGTGAGAATGTTTGCCACATTTCCAAAAGAACTAACTATAAATTATACTTCAGAGAACTTTTAAGGAAATATGTTCATGCCTCAGCACTTTAATGTGTTAATTAGCTATTAACAGTGTCAGTATATTAGGCCTGTCAAGAATAATGGTCTCCTTGCCCGGGTTTTTACTACCACTTCACTTGATGGAGTTACTTCCAGGTTTTGCCCTCAGGTACTGCTAAAAAGCTAGGTTGCAAAAGATAAACTTCAAGTTTGTTGGAAGTCACTTAAACCCTGAATCTGTGGGTGTGGTGCTTATTTATAAACCTCCGGCTGAGGGACAACCTGATTCCTCTTGCAGCTGGCAGGGGAGTTTGTCCCTTCTTCTTGGTTCCTCATTTCAGTTGTCTTTGCAAGGTGCCTTCTTTTGTGCATGCAGAAAGTTAGCAACTTAGTGCTGCCATTCTCCTGCAGGACGGAGGTGCCTTGCTTTCCACACCAGGGTTCTGACCAGCCCCCAAAGAAGGATTTGACCCAGTCAGAACCTGCTTGATCCATCTTGTCTCTCCTCCTTGTACCAAGAGACCAGAGCAGGTCTGAGGTGGAAGAGTTCAGAATGAGAGATTCAGAAATAATGGTTTGTGTAGAGGTTGCCTAAGTATAAGGACTGCTGGTATTTTCCCTGTCATATGAAGGGTTGGCTGCTCTGCAGTCCTCCTGCCTCTGCCTCCCAAGTGCTGGGATTACAGGCATTCGCTGCCATGCCCAGCTTCTTATGCTGGGTTTTCTTTTGTTTTTGTTTTTGTTTTTTTGTGCTGGGGATGAACTCGGGTCCTTGCACTTGCGCAGCAGGCGGCAAAACCACTGAGCTAAATCCCTGGCCCCTCTTATGCTGTTTTTGATAGCCTCAGCATCAGTGAAATTATTTTCTGTACAGAAGTAATTAACACTAGGGTCTTTGTCATTACAGTCTGCATTTATAGGGTGTAAGTGTGTTCCAGTTAAATAATTCACCTCCCATTTGCTCTTCAAAGAATATCCTAGGAATAAGATTAAAAGTTTAAATTTCATTCTTTTCCAAAGAAACATGGGAGTGGAAACCACCAGGATTTACTCCCTGAATTTATGATAATTGTGATTTTATTATTACTTATTGTTTGTTTTACCTAAATACTAATGATAAATGCCTCACTATATCATGCCATTTAAGAGTTTTTTTCCAATTAGAAAGTTTGATTCTAATGTAAACCTGATATAAGTGTGTTCATTTACTTAACAAATATTTGCTTACACCCAATATATGCTTCTCTCACTATTTCAGATTAAAATATGGCAATGTTTCAGACTGAAATGAAAATGATTTAAGTAGTAAAAGGTTATTAGTTTAAATCCTGTTAATTTACAATGTCTTAATAACTGAGTACAAGCCACTTTGAAGTTTACCATCACCCTGGCAGTGCAAATAAAAATATGTAAGGGAACAAATGATACAGGAAGGATGATCCAACAAACTAAAAGAACATATTTTTAGGGTACTTTAAATGCTCCCCTATATATGCAGTTGATTTAATAATTATAAATTACTCTTCTACCAAGCAATACTTTTTAAAGCCCAAGTCTATTTTATATTCTCTGACAAAAATACAATGTCTCTCAAATATTTCTTGTTTTAAACTCCTCATGGTTTGTAAAAATATTCCAGTGAGTCTCATGTATAACTTTCAGTAATATTAGAAGATTTGACTCTTTGGCAGCTCTTGCTGTTCAAGTATAACCTTTATAATTTAATAATGTCAAACCATTAAAATACCTATCTAAAAGGTTGATGTGCAAAGGAGCTAGAGAGTTTTGAGGGAGCAGGTGATGTCTCACAGGAAAGACTGTAGCATGGATTTTATAGTCCAAATTAGAATGAAGTCCCCTCTGCCCTTTATTAACTCACCTCTGGCAGGTAGTGGAAATGTTGATACCTCAGTTTCCTCATCAATGAATATGGGAGTAATAATACTCAGAGATCTAGCTGCAGCATCATGCATAAACCAAACCTGAAAGTGCTTGACATAGGATAGACACTCCATAACAGATTAATTTGCTTTCCATTCTCTCTTGTCTTGCCTCCTGGTTATTGTTTCAGCCAACAGAACAATCACCCAAAATGACAATGTAAGCTGAGGATTTCTCCCTGAACAGCTGCATGTTTCATGTTAACGTAAATGTCTACTTTAATTGCAGGCTATATCCAGGCATGTAGAGGACTTATGATCGCTGCTGTCAGCCTGGGCTTTTTTGGTTCCGTATTTGCACTCTTCGGAATGAAGTGTACCAAAGTTGGAGGCTCAGAGAAATCCAAAGCTAAAATCGCTTGTTTGGCTGGAATTGTATTCATACTGTCAGGTAACTAATAACTTTCTTTCACACAAGGTACTTCGTATTGATGAAATAACACTAACCAGAGTGCTTTTCCTTTGATACCATTTAGGGCTGTGCTCAATGACCGGCTGTTCCCTGTACGCAAACAAAATCACAACAGAGTTCTTTGATCCTCTCTTTGTGGAGCAAAAGTAAGTGTTCCAGTCAATCTGCAGTATGTGTTTCTAGCTCACTGAAAATTGTAGACATGAACGTTCTAGATTCAGAGTTGTGAAATTCCCGCGTGGCTGTTGGAAAGTGAAGCACACTATTAAGTGGTAGCCGATGGAATCCTTCAAATGTGTGTACCACATTGACAAAAGGCATTTAGTTACTTCATTAGCTTTCCATAGTCTTTAGCACGAGGCACAGGATTTAGAACACAAGCTTTATCCACTGTACATCATAAAATCGAAGTCCAGGGCAGGGAAAGCAGAAGAGAGGTGTGAGATGGGAAGAAAGAATGACAATATGAGAGAACAAAACCTCAGAGCTTGTCCAGACTGATATTCATCCAAAATGATATTTGCCTCTGGGCAAATATTTGTCTCTGGGCCTTGTAAATTTGCTCTTCTGTAACAAGCTCCTCCTGATCCACCCTTATAAAGAACGGATGTGACTCACAGTTTTTAAAAAGTGCTCTGTAAGGGGCCAGGGATTTAGCTCAGTGGTTCCTCCGCCTGCCTCCCAAGTGCAAGGACCCAAGTTCGATCCCCGGTACCAAAAAAAAAAAAAAAAAAGTGCTCTGTAAGCCTGGTACTGATACTCAAATACGGCTGCTCAGCTGCAGATGAGTGTTTTAGCATTAACAGATCAGTTTGTTTGTTTGTTGCTTTTAAACTATAGGCTGTTGCTTTTTAAAGTTTTCCTGGGTTTATTTCACTGCACTGGGAAAAACCTGCAGATACCAAATCAGAAACAACCACATATCAAATCTTTTGTCTTACATGAAATTGCTCATGTACCTCTGTAGGAAGTCGCATGTGTAAACATGTGTATTGTTATCTACCAGGCTGGCGATTCTTTCAGACTTCAGATCAAATGTTATACATTTTTTAAAAAGCGAATTACTGAAATAACTGGTTTTGGTGTATTTAGCAATCTTCAGAAAACCAGTTTTCTATTTCTGACATTAGTATAGTAAATGCACAATAGGAAATGTTCAAACTTTGAAATGTAATGAAAATAATGAGAACCCCTAACATATGCCAAGTAGAGCATTATGAATTTTAGATTATTATGTTTTTATAACACCCTTATAGGTAGGTTCTCTTGGGACTCTCTTATTTGAAGTTGAGGGAAGAGATCAAGTAATATGTTCATGGGTACTTGGATTAAACTAGTAGCTATTTGAACCATGATTTAAATCAAGTGGTTGAACTATAGAGCACTTGCTCTAAAATGTGAGATTTATAATATTCTGCTGCTTCATAATTCTTGTCAGGATGCTACATATACTTTCATGAGGGAGTTTCTTTTGTACATTTTAAAGAAGTTTTCATTCAGAAACCCTATGAAATGAAAAACAAAAATGACTAAGACTCTAGTATAAATTGTACTTTCCTGCCTATGTTAGAAAAATGTGTCCTGTTGTGTAAATTTTCTCCCAACTTATCTTTGATGAAAACTGAGACTACACTCTGGAGATCAGAACCATTTTAATGATATTTAAATGAAATGTTATATTTAATTTTTTCTCAAGGACTGATACCATTAATATACCATAAAATCCTATTTTGCATGGTTTATTTTGTTTAATGTGTTGCTAACTTTTCTGGAGTCACTGTTTTTGTTTTCCTGACTATCAAGGATGTCTTTGTCTGCATCTTAAAAGTCATTGGAACCCTTTGTCAAAAGGTCAAGGCCCATTCCTGAATGCTTCCTGCGCTTGCGAGATTCAGTTCGGTACCTTTGGAGTTTCTTAGGCACCTGTCATCATTATGAAAACACAGTTCAGTAGTGTTGTACTGTGAGAGGTTTTTCTCACTTCCAAATTCTTAGTGCTCATTGCACTATCCTAGTCCCACAGATGGTCTCTCCGTATTCCTTTTCCACCTCTGCCTAGTCTCTCTGTCTCATCTGTAAAAGAGGGATAACAGAATCTGTTTCATAGAGTTGCTAAGAGAATAAATATATGCTTAGAATGTGTGTGCGTGCATGCGTGTACGTGGGAATTGGGCTCTTTTGTATTATATTAGCCATCATTAAGATTCCTTTTTTAGTTATGTACAATATAAAGATGTGACCTACCTTATTGATAACCTTTTAGGTAGTTTTTTTTCGCAATGATTTAAACAAATAAATTAACAATTTGGGGCCGAGGATTTAGCTCAGTGGTTTTGCCACCTGCTGCACAAGTGCAAGGACCCAAGTTCAATCCCTGGTACCAAAAAAAAAAAAAATTTGCCAGTTTACCTTACGTAATTAAAAGTACAAGAGGTAGGGTTATGAAAAACAGCACTACTATCTGAGTGTGGTGGCACACCGCTGTAGTCCTAGCAACCCAGTAGGCTGAGGCAGGAGAGCTAAAGTTTGTGCCCAGCCTGGACAACTAAGCAGTTTAGCAAGACCGTACCTCAAAATAAAAAATAAAAAGAGCTGGGACTGTAGCTCAGTGTGAAGACCCTGGGTTCAATCCCCAATACTCCAAACAAAACAAAACAAAACAAAAAACACAGTGCTGCTTACAAACTGGTATTTGTAAATACTTCACATCAACATATTATAGAAAATTTAGCCTATAAACAAATGTGAGTACTGATCATGTGTTGACTACTTGAAGCTAGAACTTTCTCTCCTTCCTCTGTTATTCTCCTCAGTGTCTCACACAAAGAAAGGCCCCCAGTGATCTAAATAAATTCTAATAGGATCAAAGAATCATCAAGGCCTGAGAATTGTAAATGTGTTAGATTCTCATTACAATGATAGAAAAGAGGCATAAAAATGACATATGATGCCCACAGGAATCCAAAGACCTCAGATAAACAAAATGTGCTTTTTTAAACACCAGTAAATTGTCATGATTTCCTCTGGTTTTCTGTTACCACCACCTTGTGGTAGAGAAGAGGAGGATAATTCAGAAGATCAGTAAACTACACAATGGCTATAGAGACAGAATAGCCTGGTTTCGTAGGTATGGAAATGTCATCACGTTTAAAGCAAGGTTTTGCTTTGGCCTATTCTAGGGGAAAGTACTTCCTCCACTGGCCTTTGCTAGAATTTCACCTTTGGCGCCTCTGATTTCATTTGTCCATGAACTTGGAGAGGAATATGTGCAGGAATCAAAGTTCATGGCTGAGCTACCCTTGGGTGAACTGGAGTTTGGAGGATGCAGCTGTAGGAAAGGGTCTATTTCTTTGGTGTCTTGCTCGACTGGGAAGAGAATCAAAAGCATCCTTTTCAACTCTGTCTTCTTCACCAGCACAGTGGCTAGAAATTTTGTTACTGCAGACCAAGGCCCTACACGACAGCAAGCAAGCTTTCTGTTGGTGCAGCGGTCAAGGTGCATGCCCTCTTCTCTTCCCACTGTGTTCATACGATAGTCTTTCAAAACACAAGCACCAGGGCCAGGGATTTAGGTCAGCGGCACCGTGCCTGCCTGGAAAGCACAAGGTCCTGAGTTCGATCCCCGGTACCAAAAAGCAAACAAACAAACAAAAAACCACGAGCACCAGCAAATGTGCCTCCCACTGGAGTCCCAGGTGACTAACCCGAGGCCGCTGGTGTATTACGGTCCTTGGACAGGACCCTGAGAGATGGGCCCCAGTTTGAACTGCTGTCTGATATCCTAAAATGTGTGGAGCGTGGTTTTCGTGTTAGTTTGCTGCTGCTGATTTTCATACAATTTCTATACTGTGTTAATTGGATCTTCCTTGTAGAGGAGGCACACTCTGGATGCCTAAGTTAGAAAAATACAACTAAGTTGATCAACAAAGTTCATATTGTGCTCAAGGAACTCAGTAGAGCTTTGTTGGTGAGGAAAATGTCAGTGGCTTCTGATGTAGAGTCAAGGTGAAGATCCCGGCAGTCACACTGTGGTGCTGAATGCTCAGTGGCTATCTAGAATTCTACGACTCTTCCTTTCCCACCACAGATCTGGGTAGAGTTTTCTTTCAAGTTACATTTGACAGAGTTACAGTCTTCATCTGTGTTCTGCTGCCTCCCCATTTTTATCATTTGTTTTGCTTCCTTGCATTCAAGTTATGATTATGTTCATGACTCCAGCATGCAGAGCCTTGAAAACTATTTCTCCACTCATCTCTTTAGGCTCCTTTTTATTAAAACAAAACCTACCAAATCCAAAAAAATCTCCCCTCCCGGAAGCTATGGTAATAGGTACCCCATAGGGTGATTCACCATGCCAGGGTGAGCACATTATTCCCATCATTGCTTTGTTCCCCAAACCACTAACTACCTGGATATCTTGCTTGTTTTCTTAAATAAAGTGTTCTGAGTAAGAATTGACATGAAGAAACTGTTTTCCAAATTAAGCAAAGTTACGGCACTTGAGCAATTCCTTATTCAAGGAAACAGAACATTGTGATCTTAGATTTATTCTCTTTCTCTGTGTGAGATTTACCATTGATGTTTTGGCTTAGATAGTCTCATGTTTGGGTCTTATCCTCTAAGCTTTTCTGTTTTTATTATTTTCAAAACCATGGAACACTCTTCATTCCTGGGATATTTGCTTTCTGCTTCAGGATTTGAGCTTTAGTAAGGTAAAATCTTTTCGCTATCATGGTTATTTAGTAGTTAGAAATAAATGACTACCAGGCTAGGGGTGTAGCTGGGGGTGTAGAGAGGCAGGTTTGGCATGTACAGAGATAGGGTTCAGTCCCTAGGACTAAAAAATAAAAGATGAAGAACAAAAACATAAAAAGCTGCCTATTTTCAGATAAACTATCTCATTCTTGTTGTCAAGTTTAATGAACAAACAATTCCAGAAGTAAAATACAGATTTTCCTGGGTGAGGTTGGAAAGAATATCATTCTCACAGGGGAACTTGCCAAGATATTTAACTTCACTGTTCTGTCCTTATAGTTTATTACCTTATGATGTTTGTTCATTTAAGATTACTCGTGAGGTTATTTGGAGAATGAGCTAATGTTGGTAAGGAGCACATAGATTCTTGGAGAGAAGATTCCATATAGGT